TTGCTAAATCTGTCTTTGCCAGATTTAGCAGTCCTACTTTCCAACTTTCTAATTATTTTCATTCCCACTCACCCTGCCCAAATTTTTCCACATCCCTTTCAAGTGACCTGAATTTAATGAGATAAATTTCTTGATAATGAGCAGATCATCATCATATATATATATATATATATATATATATATATATATATATATATATATATCTCCCTGGTGTTAAATAATTTATTTTTAATTATGATGACTGAATGGAAACAATTTGAAAGCCTCCCAACTATTGCATGATGGAAGAAATGTGGGTGCTTTGTGTTGTTTTTTGTTTTGGAGGAAGATGCCTGATTCCTTCAGAGCCACCAGGGACCAACACAAAATTATGGCCAGAGGTCATCCTAACTGAAGCTGGTCTGAGGCACCTCTCTTCCTTGCAAGGTTCTAGCAACATCCTAGGCAGAGTTGTTACTGGTCTGGGAGTGGTTCTTTGTTTTTATTGGTAACATAGATCTCATTTTTTAAGATCTTCTTTACCAAGAGAAGTCTGAAGACTCTTCAACAAACAATAAGAACAGAAAAGAAATATACCCAACACTCTTTAAAAATTTTTTTTAAAATTGATTTCAGAGAGGAAGGGAGAGGGAGAGAGATAATAGCAATGATGAGAGAGAATCATTGATCAGCTGCCTCCTGCATGCCCCCGAATGGAGATTGAGTCCATAACCCTAAGGCCAACCCATGAAGCCCTGATTTATGAAGAAGCTGAGGTCTAGAGATGTTAAGTGATTTGCACAAAGAGCAAACAATGGAGCTGGGATTGCACCTCCGGCCTGTCTGAGGAGGATTCTTAAGGGACCCCGAGGAGAACTGGCCCTGTCTTATTTTTGTTTCTTTGGCTCTCTCACTGGTCTTGGAAATGCCCACAGACCAGCGCAGGCAAGTTCAGGACTGAGAGGAGACTGCTCAGAGATCTGAAGAGGAGAAAGATGTTTCTTCAGAGGCGAGCCCCCTCAGCCGTGACCAGACCCCCAGGGCCGAGTCAGGAAGCCCAGGCGCCAGTGCTGACCTGAGTGCAGGAAGGACTGACCTAGCTCTGTTGGGGCTGACCCAGTCAGTCAGGGGCCCAGCTGAAGGTGGGCTTGACTCCTTCTGCGCCCCTTTCCGAGTCTTCCTAAGTGGGGCGAAGCCTTTTCCATAAGGTTGCCAAAGGTGAGTGTATACTTCTTCCTAGCATCTTATCAAATTTGGATGTGTTTTCTTTATCAACGATTAAATTATTTTTGTTTTATTTATTTTAACTTTGGTAAAAAATACACATAACATAAAAGTTATCATCTTAACCATTTTTTTAGTCTACGGTTCAATGGCATTAACTACCTTCACCTTGTTGTGCAATCATCCATCTCCAGAACTCTTTTTCATCTTCCCAAACTGCCCATTAAACACTCACCTCCCACCCCCAGCCCACAGCAGCCACCATTCTGCTTTCTATCCTATAAAGGTGATTACTCTGGGTACCTCAAACAGGCAGAACGATACAACATCTGTCCTTTTCTGACTGAAGTATTAGCATACGTCCTCACAGTTCATCCACACTATAGCATGAGTTGGCATTTTCTTCCTTTTTAAGGCTGAATAATATTCCATTGTATGTAGAGGCCACATTTAGTTTATCCACTCATCCTTTCATGAACTCGGGGGTTGCTTTCACCTTTCCGCTACTGTAAGTAATACCGCTATGAACATAATGTACAAATATCTCTTTGGGACCAATTTCAATTATTTTAGGTAACTACTCAGAAGAATTGCTGATTGGATCATTGTATTTATTTTTCCATTTCCCTTTAATCTTCACCCAAGGATATGTTCATTGATTAGAAATGAGAGAGGGGGGGGGGGGAGAAAGAGAGAGAGAGAAAAGAGAAGAGAAGAGAAGCATTGATCAGCTTCTTCCCATATGAGCCCTACCAGGAGTGTGGGGTTTGTGTGTGTGACGGGGGGGAATACTCAACTTGCAACCCAGGTATGTGCTCTGACCAGGAATTGAACCTGCAGCCTTGTAATGCACAGAACAACACTCCAGCAACCGAGACACGCACCTGAAGAGAACTGGTCCTGTTTTGTTTTGTTTCTGATAGGCCGGCACAGTATCAGTGTATTTTTTATAGAGATGTGTTGCCTAATGAACAAACTGTCCTGTACTTTCTCTTATTGCCTCTCTTCCCTGCCCTTGCCTCACCTAACACACCTTTTCCCCCTGACCTTCATCTCCCGCACACCTGACTGGGACTAATTGCTATGGCATTGCTAGCATTATTTAAGGTTGAAGCTTACAATGTTAAAAAATAATCAGACCTAAAATGAGCCAGTGAGCCCCTTCCCTAATAATCTAAATTGAAACAGAGGTTTCCAGTCTGACTGCTCTGTGGGGAAGGGGAGATTCAAATTCAGAACTGTTGGCAGAAGCCAGTCTCCACAGGATTTGGGAGTCAGAACTGATCTGAGAGAGAATGAAGCAGCCGCACAGAGAGGAGCAAAATTAGGAGCGGGAGAGGGGAGTCTTGGGTTCCCTAAGTCCTTGTGTCCCTAGCCAGCCGGCCTGCAGTCCAACGTTCTTAGATGCCATGGACTGGCCCGGTCTCCTTGTTGTGTAGGTCTCATGGTGCTCAAGCTGGTTCCTATATCCAAGGTCCTAGCTCAACTCAAACAGGCATGCCCAACTTAAATAGGCTTTCACTTAAGTCTTGCTGTAGTGACTAAGACCATCGGAAAACAGATATTTACATTACGATTCATGATAGTAGCAAAATTAGTTATGAAGTAGCAATGAAAGTAATTTTATGGTTGTGGGTCACCACAACATGAGGAACTGTATTAAAGGGTCACGGCATTAGGAAGGTTGAGAACCACTGGTCTAGGGTAAAGCTAAGGCACCTCCACCCATCCCGAGAGGGAGAGCACTCAACCTTCCCATCTGAAGGCAACAGCAGAATCCAGAAACTGAGCCTCTTCCGCTGTTCTCAGGGATCTGTGGGCAGCTGTACAGCCTACCTCAGCGGCATCTTGGGAGGCTGACCTAGGGACAATGGCCGGATGTGACTGAGGTTTGTGCTGGACTGGCCTCGGTGACCTGTGTCCAAGTCAGCACCTGGGTCAGTCTTTAGTTCCTAAACAGGCTGCACCTGGAACCTGTCATCCTCTTCTAGAGCAGTGACGCCATGGGTGTGGACCTCTCACCCTCAAGTGTCATCCTGGGGAGAGGGGCTCGGAGCCACCCTGACCGAATGTTCTTCAGAGCCCTGACAGGTCAACCTCCAAGCGATGGAGGTTAAGGGAGGTGCACCAACCACCCCAGACCCCAGTGCCACTCCAACAGCTGGGGCGCTCAGGAAATGGGCTGTGGGGCAGTGTCTTAGGACAAAAGGCAGGAGACTGCAGAGGAAGCAAGAGGGTGTTGGTCAGCTCAGGCTCCTGGAGAGGGCCCCAGGCCCGTGCTGGCACAGTGCCCCTAGGAGTGGAGGCTGGATGGTGGGGACCCGGGCTCTGTTCTAGCGCTGCCCACGAAGGAAGGGCCTTCCCTTCATTTTTCTGGGAGAGAGGAGTGCCAGGACACTCAGTCTGGGGTCTCAAGGCCAAGGTCTGACGAATCTCAGCCATCTTCAAGGTCAGCTCTTTCTGTTCCACAAAATGCCCAAGGAACGCTGGACTGGGCTCCATACTTGCTGTTTACACAGGAATTCCTTATGTACATTTTATTTTCAATTATTCCATAACCCAATTTCCTTAGTCCCTGTCAGTGATACTCTTGTTCTCCCCAGTTTGCAGGTGGAACTGAGCTTCAACTGCATGTCCTTACAAGGGAAACCGACAAAAAGTCCCACACACAATGAAGCTAGATTTAGGAAAACTGTGTTCAGCGGAATAACAAGACAAGGACTCTCTTTCTTACTAAATTAAAAATAAATAAAAGAAAAAGAGAGACTATGTCTCCTTGCTGCCCTCAGCTGGTATAGAAAGACAGTGCTCTGTTAGAATAAATTCCTCCAGTTCTTGCCGAGACCGGTTTGGCTCAGTGGATAAAGCGTTGGCCTGCGGACTGAACAGGTCCCGGGTTCGATTCCGGTCAAGGGCATGTACCTTGGTTGCGGGCACATCCCCGGTAGGGGGTGTGCAAGAGGCAGCTGATCGATGATTCTCTCTCATCGATGTTTCTAACTCTCTATCCCTCTCTCTTCCTCTCTGTAAAATAACAATAAAATATATTTAAAAAAAAAATTCCTCCAGTTCTTACTCATTCAATTGCCACACCGAAAGTACCTTGTACCTTGGAAGAGGGTAGCTTTCATTCATAAACTGAAGGGTTTCGGCTGCCCTGCCCAAGAAGGAAGAGCAGATGTTACCCTTGTCTTCCTCCTTTAGAAAGACCTGGACAGTCCGTTTTCCTTGGGAGGGTGGCTGGTGAAGGCATCTTGCGTCAGAGCAACAGCATCCGCCTCCATGATGCCCATCTCCTGCCCGCCAATCAGTGTGCCTGCGCTATACACTGTCCTATATTTGAAAAGAAGTCTCTCGTGACATGAAGTAAGTAGGTAGTATGTTTTCCAGGAGAAGAATATAAAACTCAGCCCAACCTGAATTTCAAAGCATTTATTTCTGTCTGGGTAAAGGGCTAAATTGGTCCCAATCAATATAATAAATAAATTTTTTAAAAGAGCAAATTGAATGAAAAAAAATAAACAAACGAATTTAACACACTAAAATTATGCAGAATTACCTTTATTTGGTTGCAACCCTAACTTCATTTTTCTTAAAATTAATACTATTTCACTTTTACATTCATAAAAGCAACACCACTGCACTGCAAAATTGCCCACATGCAATTAGGTACCTGATATATGCATTCTGATTTGTTAACAAGTGAAAGAAAGATTGTGTCATCTCATTAAGAAAATATTTTTTAGAAACCTCATTTCATTTTTATTTTTTAAAAAGAGTTATAGCAAAGAGATGTTTCAAAGGTTGACTCTTTGTCCTTTCACAAGCCGTCCTCGAAATCTCCAAACATCCTGGAAATAATGCCAAACAAAAGAAGTTCAGTTTCTCTCTTCACCATAAAAGAAAGCAAATTTCTAGCATCTACAAATGGTTAAATGGAGGGGAGGGGAAACGGGATGTGGAAACCTCCACAATAGCCATATTCTGAGGCTCCGATTTACTTGCCAACATCTAACATCATGGTCAACAATCTAAGGCAGGGAGCCCCCCAGCTGTCAGCCCTGTTGCACTGGGCCCCCTTGTTGGTCACCGGTCCGCAGCCAGCTGATTATGACGCTCGGTCTCAGTACACACAGTTCACTACCCAACTTCCTGCCTTCAGTTTGGTCATTTTGAGTCATCTGCTCCTGATTAGGTCATAATCATGTCAATGATGCTATAAGTTACTGGTTTATTTGCATTTTCTTTGTTCTTCATAAAACAATTCAGACTTTTGAATTTATTTCTTATTTCTTTTTTATTTTTGAGCAACCAGCAAGGTATAGAGAGAACGATTTTGGAATTCAACCTGATTCTGAAGTCTAGCTTTTGTCACGTTAACAGGTCCACCTCTTGGATGATTTTCTCATTAGGAGCATACAGCTCTAATGACTGCTGCATTAGATTTTGGTGAAGAAAATAAGAAAAAGAGTATGAAAATGCTCTTGTTTGTACCTTAAAAGAACTATAGAGCTAAATTTTGTATTGCTATTGTAAGTAAAATTGATAAACTGTAACTTAAAAGGTAACTAAAAATAAATACAGGGGGTAATTCATTTAGTGCAATAATGACAAACCTCAAACTGAATGTATACTTTTTCCCTGCCTTAAAACTCAGAGTGTTGGACGGAAACCACAACTGTGTTGACAAACTACATTGCCTTTGTAAGCCATTTTACATATTGGACAAAGGGAGAAGGATGATACTTTCTAGAATCTGCAAATGTGAGATCAGAGCATTTTCAGAGATGGGGTACATTCATAGATTCTAAGGAGAGAAAGGAGTAAAGGGTGAAATAAGATTCTTGAGCTGGGAAGGTGTTCAGAAAATGATTCCCGTTCAGTGCTCTTCACAGAACTGGAAGGCTCCTTCTGTGCGAGGGTCGTGTCACCCCAGAGGAAATGCATTCATTTATGACTACCTAACGTAAATTTAAAAACTGATCAGCTTCTTGGCTCCCAGGCGAAGATGTACATAGTCTACAAAGCAAATAGTCTATTTGCCTTGACTGATATTTTTTCTATTGATCCACATCAGCACTGAATGTTCCCTAATTAAAAGCAAATAATTTACAAGTGATGTGTATGAATTAGGAAAGCATATGAAGTATCTCACAGCTCTTATTGATAAGCGTTAGCGATCTATCTCTGTGCATGCAAACAAACACTTGCCTAAGAATTGCTTCCAGGGAGTCTTATTGGATTTCCAAATGTATAAATTTCTATTCTCTACAAATAAAGGAGGACTGACTATGATTGCTAGTCCAAACCTTTAACTTTCCTTATGTTCATTCCGGAGGTAGTCTGTCATCCTTGATTTCCTGTCCTCTAATATGTTTCCTATTTCCTATCCTGTCTGACTGTCCTGGACCAAGGTAGCGTGCCTTCACCTGGACAGCCCGAGTTCACAGAGACGCCAGCACGCCCTCAGCTCCCCGCACCGGGGAAGCCGTGCAAAATGAGCTCCCACGGGCATTCTCCGCGGGTCTCAGCCACATTTCTGGAGCGAGGTCTCACCACAAGCACCTCCTACCCTCACATTAAATCAACAAGAAGGATTTGTAAGCACTTGAAGAAAAGACAAAAACCGAGATCTTTTTCTGTCATTTCATGCACTGACCTTTAGGGAGACACCATCTTTCACTCCGTACAGTTTTTCTGCTAACGACACAATTTCGTTCTCAATGTTTTCTTGACTGGTGCCCTTCACATCGATGTAGTGGCAGTTGGCACTGGCAAAATGGCAGGAAATTGCCTGGGCAAAGTGAACCAATTAATATTAATGGTAAAAATCACATCAACACCAGCAACCAAGCAAGGTTTCTTTTAGAAAGTCAGTTATTTCATTCAGCATTTGATTTCTAGATTGAAAGCTGTTCCATGGTGCCTTAAATCAGTCTCCTTGTGGCTCAGTAGTTTTTCCTCCTCTCAGGTAAAGGCTGCTTGAGAAATTGCAAGAGATTTTTTTAACTAGCTGTGGTATTTATTTTCAAAAGGCATTTATAGGGCAGGGAATATAATTCCATTAAGTCAGAGGTCTTAAGTAGTTGAAAAAAATATTGAAAAGATGTTAAATCAGCATATTAAACTCCTCATGTTTTGTACTGTGGTCTCTACCCCGCTTGGCAGGGCTGAGGTCTGTGCTAGGAAACCGCCTGATCTGGTGAAGAACCTCCCACTGCAGCCACTCAGATTCAAATTGTTGGCACTGTGCTCATCATGGATTTTTTTTGCAGTGATTTTGATTTTTTAAAATATTGTACCAAATATTATTTAATTGGATTCTTTAGTTTTTTTAGTCGCTGCCCCTGAAATTCTGCCCCTGAAGAGAGTGCCTTCTCACCTCACCCTCATCCTGGCCCCACTGAGCCCGGTGGAAAGATGAATGAGTGAAAGATGAAACCTGACAACGAACCCTCTGCCTCAGGGAGACAACTGGGGTTGGCATAACAACCGAACAGCCTCAATGAGCCCAGAGAAGCCCCCAATAGTTAGTATGACAGTCATGTTATCGGGGGGACATGCGAGTCCACACCACAGTTCTGCCAGATGTGCTGAATTTTAGAGAAATGAGAATTTGCGAATTTATGAGAAATCTGTCAAGTTTTAATGTAAGCAATGAAATCATTAAGTTTAGAATCTCAAAATCCTGACTGGTTTGGCTCACTGGATAGAGCTTCGGCCTGCAAACTAAAAGGTCCCAAGTTCAATTCCTGTCAAGAGCACATGTCTCGCTGAAACCGGTTTGGCTCAGCGGTAGAGCATTGGTCTGCGGACTGAAAGGTCCCAGGTTCGATTCCGGTCAAGGGCATGTACGTTGGTTGCAGGCACATCCCCGGAAGGGGGTGTGCAAGAGGCAGCTGGTCGATGTTTCTCTCTCATCAACGTTTCTAGCTCTCTATCTCTCTCCCTTTCTCTCTGTAAAATATCAATAAAATATATTTTTAAAAAATGTTAAAAAAAAAAAAAGAGCACATGTCTAGGTTGCAGGCTCAATCCCCAGCCAATCAATGATTCTCTCTCTCATTGATGTTTCTCTCTCGCCCTCTCCCTTCCTCTCTGAAATCATTAAAAAAATATATTTTTTAAAAATTCTCTAACACTGAGGGGTGAAAACAATGACTGCTTGCTAAAACTAATTTCTGGACAGCAATTCAGAAACTATTTTTTGAATATGATCAATAATATTTTTTTCAATAGCAATGATATTATAAACTTTTCTGTTATATGGTTTCTATGAGCTATATACCACATTCAAAACTTTATTATTTTAGTATGTAGCAATGGTTTTTGCCTCCAAAGCACAGGGTGTCAGCTCCCAAGAAAGCTCTGGCTCTGAAGCAAATCACGAATGGGATCCTGAGGTCTCCTGGCTTCTTACTGATCTGAGCAAAAAAAGCATGAAATGTATTTCTTGGCAATTAAATTGGACTAAAGGTTAGTTTGGTTAAAAGTCACAAATCTTTTTTTTTGTTGTTGTTGTTGTTAATCCTCACTCAAGGATATTTTTTCCAGTGATTTTTTTCTTTCTTTCTTTTTTTTTTTTTTTGAGAGAGAGAGAATGAAGGGGAGGAAGGGACGAGAGGGCAGAGAAAGCTAGAGAGATGGAGAGATACACACACATCATTGTTGTTGAGAGACACATGGATTGATTGCCTCCCACACATGCCAGGCATCAAACTTGCAACCCAAGTATCTGACTTTGACTGGGAATGGAGCCTGCGATCCTCTGGTGCACAGGTCAATGCTAACCACTGAGAAACCAGCTATAGCAAAAGTGTCAAATCTTTTAAATTTCAATATATCTTGGTATTTTTGTGTTTGAGCATTCATCTTTGAAAAGTGCTGTTATATTAATGCATACCTTCCGGAATCCTTGAGTTCTGTTCTGACCAGATCCATGGATGAGCAAAGGATGGAAGAAAACGGTGTCTCCCTTCTCCATCACAAGGTGAACCCGGGCATTGTTTTCATCATAGTCCTGGATCCCGTGGAACATGATGTTAACTCCCCCCTAGCACACAAAAGAGAGCCAAGTCTGTATTTGAGGACGCCAGTAATTACAAACTTTATAGATCATCAGGTAAAGCAAAGGTACTTTAAGTTCTTCCAAGAGGAGATTCTTTTAAAAAATGTAACTGTACAAAAGCTTGTCTGATGTCTGGCTTTTAAAAGTCACCTGTTGATATTAAAATCACAGATTTTTTTTTAACAAATAAAAACTTTGGAATTTCTTCCTACCCTTTGTTACTGAATAATAAATGAAGCTCTAGGTCAGCTTTGCATTTTCTGGTTAATGCAGAACTTTCCAGCCCGAACCCATGATCATTCTTTCCCAGCATGGTAGTCTCCTCACCTGGAACTTCACATAAATCATTCTCCTGTGATTCAAGAGTATCCCTGAGAAACTATTCTCCAAAACTAGGGGGGGAAAAATGTTCAGTTTTCTGAGCTCATGTCTCATCCAGAGTAAAAGAAAGAAGAATCACAAATTATAACACTGTGTTTGTTTATTATTGCTTCCAAAGTTAGCTATTGCTTTAGGGAAAGGCTATGTCTTTATTAAAAACTACAGTGAGAAGTGATTTAAAGCTTACAAGCCTTTATGAGGGGGTGGGGGCTGCTGTCCCAGGGTAGAGGCAGCATCCCATCTCCCCTCCTAAGCCTGAACTCTGTTAGGATTTTGGTCCAGTGCACTTCTCTCCTGGCCAGGGGGGATATGCCCCAAGCTAAGCCAAACTGACCCCCCATTTCAGCCACTCAGATTCAAATCTGAGCAGAGGATGGAAGAGACCAGACACAGTTAGAGTTCAACTGCCCACATCAACTGCCCCAACCCATTCTCCCCACCGAGCTACATCAGGCCTAGCCAGCCTTCCAGGCTCTGAGCAAGACCTGCAGCTCTCCCAAAGCACTCCCTTTTGTTTGCACCAAACCTTCCCTAAACCTCACCTTAATTGACAAATCTCACAATTTCAGATTTTATGTCAAAATTCAGTCTCTCTCTCTCTCTCTCTCTCTTTTTTTTTTTTTTACTTAGCACTAATCATCAGCACACCAAGTCTCACTAAGACAAGTCTTTAACCCTAACTGGTTTGGCTCAGTGAATAGAGCATCAGCCTGTAGACTGAAATGCCCCAGGTTCGATTCCGGTTAAGGGCATGTACCTTGGTTGCAAGCACATCCTCAGTAGGAATTATGCAGGAGGCAGCTGATTGATGTTTCTCTCTCATCGATATTTCTAACTCTATCCCTCTCCCTTCCTCTCTGTAAAAAATCAGTAAAACATATTTAAAAAAAAAAAAAAAAAGACAGAAGTCTTTAAAGCTATATTCTCTTTACTTCCTACAAGACCACATTCATTCTTTCTGCCTTAATAACAGGTGCTCTTCCTATTCTGACCATCATTATGGGGCTACAAGAAGTACTGCCTTACACCTAAAGCACAAAGTGTCCTCTCCGGTTTTCTTGCCTCTGGACTCCTACAGCTTCAATACATCCTGTGCCACACCCAAGATAATTGGTCTTGAAGAACCAGATTGGTCTCATCACTTCTTCAGCATTAACAGCTGAATCAGTCAGCCGTGGGACAGCCACACAGTGGAACACTGCTCCATCCTCCCCAGAGCTTCTGCCGGTCTCTCCAGCGGGAAGATGAGCCCTCCCTCTTTTCACTCCAGGAGCCATCAATCACTGTGTAACAATTACTTGGCACCTGGCACATGCATCTGGCTGTGCAATGTGTATGTCTTACCTTTGCAAATTAGGCTCTATAATCTCCTATCCTACCAAAGTTCCCTGTGTTGATTGGCTTTCAAACCCTTGTTGAAAGTGCAAAAATGAGTACTTTATCTAACATCCTTGAATTTTCCCTGATGAGGATTCCAAATCCTAGACCAATGTTTGGCTGTGAAAGGAAATGCCATCCCATGAGTAAGGCTCTTTATGTAGATGGATGGGAAATCAAAACAACGAAAGATTCTGAGCAAGACTCCACTGCTAAGCAGACCCACCTCCCACTGGGGATAATCGTGCGGCTTCAGGGTGCCTTTGTGTGTCCCGGGGAGCACCACCAGGCAGCCGTTGTTCCGGTCAATGTGCTCCATGGCCGTCCAAGCACAGACGATGCTATTGCTGGGTCTGAAGGGGAAGTAGTGCAGGTCCTGGTGCAGGGGGTGGCGGGATGTCTTCTTGCCTGAAAGGGAAGCTGCTGTTAAAAGACGCTCAGAATCCTTCTCTTCTGCCCGAAAAAACAGAATAATGACCAGTCCCCACAAAAGCCAATCAAATAAAACAATGTTCTAGATTCTAGAAAATCTGCCTCAGGTGATAAGCACTAAATTGGAATATCAAATCAACACAGGGACTCCGGATCCTCTATTTTTTTCTGGGTTTCGGGTAGCCGAGCACTCACACTTTTTCTAGCAAGTCATACATATGTCATCATCTCTATTGTGCTTTATTCCTTTCTGACTCTGGGTTAGGCACAGGGCCTAGTGTTAAAAAACAAAGTTTAATTAATTACATTGAAGAGAGTGGTCAACTTTGAGGTCCCCTGATAGTCTGCAAAATTTTTTTAATTTTAATAAATTAATAAATAAAAAAGCCCCTAAGAGGTTTCCTCACCAAGCTAGAAGCATTTGGTATATAATCACTGTGCAGAGTCAGAGATGCCACGACCACATTTGCATTTACATTTCGCCCTGGTTTTGCTCTCTGATTCTGACTCCCAGGCCCCCTGATCTCTCCAGGCTCTTGCAACTATCTTTGTGGGAACCAAGATGACAAACAGCCATCCAGGGAGGAGAGACTTGGTGATGTTGAGCTACAGGCCTGTCACATAAGCCTCTCCTGGCCCTCGAGGAAGAAAAAGTGGAAAAGATGAAAAGAACTCTGATGGCAAATTTACTACCGCTGGTATAGCAACATTTCTCCGCGTGGCCCAACCGCCATCTGCATAAGATTATCAGGGGACGGTAAATAAAATGCAGATTCCTGAGTACTACCATCCAAATTAGTTTCTCAGGAAGTAGGGTTTCAGAAGCTATATTTTAGAAAGCAAAATAAATTTTAAGAACAATTGTAGTATGTGATTTATAAAAATAGTTTAAATTTTGTTAATGACAATAATAAAGGCAGAATTCACACTATCACAGGTGAGGATGGTTAATAAAGCTTAGAGATGTTGAATAATAGGAACTTATGTGATATAAACTGTTGTTTAACCTGAATTTTTAAGAACCCTGCCATCTGAAAATCCAGCAGTAATAACCCTACAGTTAATATATGAAATCACTATTACCTATACTAACTGTTGTTATGATGTAAGCTATTTCGAATTAAAGTACTGTAAAACACAGAATTCAAGTGGGTAAATTTAAAGATCTAATTGGCTGTATTGAATGACGTACGCATTGAGCAGCATTCAATACAGCAGACAGGAGGAGCTCGGAGGAGCTGTGCCAAATGAAGGCTTTGGTAGGCGGATGGTGGAGAAGGAAGTTACTAGACAAGAGGACTGTTCGGGCAGTCCCTTTAGGGGGACCAGTGGGCAGATGACCTCATTAGTGCTGACCGGGAAAACCCAGACTGGCTGGCTAAGATTTCATTCCTGGGAGGAACTGAAATGCAACGTGGTGGGTATTACGGCTCAGCGTGCTGAGTGGGCAAGCACAAGGGATTGCATTTTAGGCCTGATGTCGCTCTTTTAACAGTACACATACTCACTTATGCAAAGTGTAGCACTTACAGACATAGCTATAGTGAGAACATCAACCTTATGTATTTAATAAATCATGCTTTCCTTCCCCTGAACAAATAAGAGGCCTTTACCAGAGTCGGGAGGTTTGTTTATCAGCATGGTATGCATGGCCATGATGTTGGGTCCAGTGAAGCACTCCACATATTTCAGAATCTAAAGGAAAGGTGGGGAAGGGGGAGAGTTCATGAGAAATAAGATGCACAAGCAAGTGGCACAAAGTACAAATATCTTTATGAGAACCAAGATGACAAATAGTTTAAAAAAGCCAATTCACAACATTGCCAACAAAGCCTGAAAAAGTGAGACCTGGAAAGCACTGGAAATTTCTAACACTCTGAATTAATAGGCTTTTCAGAGCCTATTGGAAACTTAACCACTTTTTCTACAAGAGAGAGAGAAGTTTCTATGAGAGACCAACTGGGAAGGACAGGTATTCCCTTCTTTCAATCAGAGCTGACAACAGCTGCCCAGTGAGAAGCTAGCTTCCTCCTCCTCCATGGAGACTGCTCATGGGGAGGGTCATGACAGGACCCAACCCACAGGCAGCTGTCATGAGGAGCCCACAGGGAAGGGGAACAGCAGCTCAGAGGACCCGCACAGTCAGTGTGACCATTCACTCGGCTCTTTACTGAGGTCTGTGAGCCAGGCAGAGGGACCGGAAATGGGACACAACAGTGAGCTGCCCCACAGAGTTTACATCAGTCTGGTGGGAAGAAGGATGTTAAAGAAATGATGACATGGGCAGCTGTGGTTGAGACACATGCTATGAAGAATAAGCGCAATGAGAGCATGTGACAGGGCGGGCTGAATGGGTCACAGGCTCCAGCAGCTGGGGTGCTGCCTCCAGCCCCTATCCCCCTGGGGAAGTGTGAAGTACAGAAAGGACTCAACATTGAATGCCTACTACTTGCCAGGGGCTTTATGAAATCAGCCCAATTAAGCCTCAGAGTTATCCCTGAAAATTAATGTCCCTGCTAAATAATAATCCTTTAAAACAAATATTCCCCATGAATAAGTCTGGGGCCGATAAATTGCCCAAGCTGGCAGACTCAGCTACATGAAAAAGTTGATATTCAAACTCCAATTCTGACTCCAAAAAATGAAGCACATTTTACTGCTTTCTCGCTATTTGGTATCTTGGGTATAAGGAATCTATATATAAAAAAGCCTATACAACCTTTATAACAGAACAACTGGACGCTATGGCATACACTGCCCACCGGGGGGAAGACGCTCAATGCAGGAGCTGCCCCCAGCCACAGGCCCCGATCACCAGTGGGCTTGCGGGCCAACTTCCTGGTTCCTATTCGCAGCCGCAGGCCCCAATCACCCAGTCAGGGCCAAGCCCCCTGGGCTGGGATGGGGGAACAGGGGTGGGTGGCCGTGGATGTGGCCCTTTCCCAGGGGGGCCGAGGGCTAGTTCCTGCCTCATGGCCAGTGGCCAAGCTCCTGGGTCCCTTCCCCTATCCCTCCCCACGGACTGTCCACCACAATGGTGGTTGGCCCCTCCCCTTGGCCCAGCAGGCCCTGATCAAGATTGGGGCCTGCCAGCCAGCCTCCCAGTCACCCCCCTGGCTGGCAAGTCCCGATTATGCCCCATCAGGGCCGATTATGCCCCATCAGGGCCGGGCCTGGGCTGGGGGCTGGGGAACTGGGGGCGGGTGGTGGAGAACACAGGCAGCAAGGGAAGGAGAAGGCGGGGAGGTGGGGAACTGCGCAGTGGTGGTGAGGGCATCGAGGGAAGGAGGTGGGGAGGCAGGAAGGTGGGGAACCTGATCGTCCCTGATCGCCAGCCAGGCCTAGGCGCCCCACCAGTGCACAAATTTTGTAGTCAATTTGGAATTATTTTGAGTATGAGGAATAAGCCTGAGGAGTCAGGCCTGATAGTTGCTTTTTATAAAGCCTGTCATTTTTCTGTTTATTTTTCACTTAGGTCAGTATTTCCTAAACCTCAATCATTCAAAAGCCATCCTCATCATTTTTGCCATACTTCCCAATATAGTTAGCTAATGATTCTTTAACTCGTTTTAACTTAGCCTTATCCTGATTAATAATATCCTTGAGATCATGGGTTAGATGTGTTGGTTAGTTTTCAATACACATTAAACTAGATAGCTATTAAAACATTGCATAACTTCTAAACATTATTGCATGAACCACCAGAGACATGGTTCATACTTTAGAAATGTAGGAAACCTGAAAATCCCGGTAATTCATGTACCACACGTGGCCTCCAATCTCGAGCTTCTCATCCCTGAACCACCCACAGAGCTTCCATGTCCATCACATAACATGAGGTTGAGATGAGTGGATGGTCCAGAAGGGCCACGTCCCCTCAGCCACCAAAGCCTGGGGCTGGACCCCACAGACCTGTATGGTCTTTCTTTATGAGTCAAATTCTCTAACAGCCCTTGGGTTATAATTTCTAATAAGTACTATATGTAATGTCTCCTTTAAAACCATTCTAAATGGATGGTTCATGAACTGTGGTACATGTGTGCAGTGGAATAATGCACAGTAGTTTTAAAAATGTAAGTAGATCCAGAGATACTGATGGAAAGATATCTAAGATCTCCCAGAAATGGAAAAAACAAGGTGACAACCAGTATGTTCCCATGGTACAAGGTGGGGGCATACAGATATGCCTGCATATACACAAAGTAATTCCAGATGAGTACATAAGAAAGCTGAGCAGTGAAGAAGGCTATGGGTGGGAGACTTTACTTTTCACTTTATGCCCCTCTGGACTACTTGGATATTTTCATAAGCATGAATTGCTCTTAAAGAATAATAATTATTTAAAAAACTAAATTTAAAATCAAACTCACAGTTCTGCTGACCAGACTCATAAAACAAAACCAAACAAAAAAGAAATGGCTTTACACTGAATAGCTTCAGCAATTTCACCCTTTGATACGCTTGTATCAAGTGTAAGAAAGACTCTCTTTAACACAGAATTCCTTTCCTTCTCAACCAAAGGAAATTAGCAAACTCTACAGTGGGGTTTCTCAATCAGGGCAGTACTGCCAGTTGGGACTGAATAATCATTTGTCTCGGAGAGGGGGTTGTTTTGTGCATTATAGGATCCTAGAGCTCCATTAGCATCATCCTGGGTTCTACACCTTAGAAGCCAGTAGCACACCATCCCTCCTTGTCCATGTGTGACGGCCAAGCATGTCTCCAGACATTGCAAATACCCTCGTCTCCCATGGAGAACCACTGTTCTAGGACCACAGCAGAAAGGAGCTAAGTAAAGTAAAAAGAACAGATTTCGGAGGCAAGCATGCAAATGGGCTATTAGCTTAGAGGAAAAAATATTCAAGGTCTTGAACCTCAGGGAGAGTGCAGTATCTGAAGAGTTCCTCATCTTCTTGGAAGTCTTGGGCCTTGGTAATCACTCTTTCACTTGGAGCAAGGTCTGTCTTCGCAATGGTCACATCTTTCATCAACATCAATCCAGCTGGTTTTACCTCTTGTCTGCAGAGTCTTTCAAACTCATTCCTAGAAAATTAAGTTGACAAATGATGTCCTTACTGCTGGCTCCAAGCACCTGCCTGACCTTGTTCTGGGAAAAGTTCACAACGTGGGTGGGGGCGTTCCCTCTGCACTAAGTTGACCTCCAGCCCCAGGTTGAATGATTCTGAAGGAAAGGAGGAGAAAATGGCCAACTCAGAAGTTCCTGCCTCCTAACGGTGAGGCTGGCATTCACTACCAGAATCCACATACTCCTTAGCTTAGAGGCCCACTTGAGGACATCCATGTGACTTGGTTAAACCTGAAGAACAGCAAACACCTCTGTAGCACTAGCAGCTCTTCAGGCCCTGTTCCAAGTCTTCTCTCAATATGTTTACCTTATTTAGTCCTAACAACAACTCTAGGTCATACGTACATAATTATCCCCATTTTACTGATGTGGGAACAGAGACTATGGGAAGGATGAGCAAATGCCCAGGACACACAATGTTACCTGGTAAGGCTAATATTAAAGCCAGCTAGTCTGGCTCCAGAGCCCAGTTTCCTAAGGAGCCAAATCACCGAACGAGCACAAGCTAATCTTATTACATTCCCATCACATGCATAAAACATACACTTCTGTAAAATAACAAATAGTTACCATACCTAAAGCGTTCGATATCAGCATCAGAAACCAAATTTTTAATGACAAGAAATCCATTTTCTTCATAAAATTTTCTCTGTTCTAGGCTTAGAACATTATTATCCAGAGTATACCTAAAGGAGAAAAATGCATCTTAAATAATCACAAATCACTACCTAACAATATGTATCAAGAATCCAAGAAATGCTGATACCCTTCCATCCAGCATTTCTATTTCCAAGACTTTAGGGAAGTAATATGAAAAAAAAAAGCTTTAAGTCCAAAGCATTAACTACTGTCACAAAGAAATAAAAGAATTAATGAATTATATCTCCATTCAATGGGATATGACTCAGGCATTAAAAATAGCAGCATAAAATAGAAGGGACAATGCTTATTATAATAAAATATTATTATAATTTATAAAGCTAAGATACTATTTATTAAAAAGTACAAAAATAATTTTAACAGTGACATACAATGAAATTGTATGTTTTTTTTTTAAGAGTTAAAAATTTTTTGATATATTTTATTGATTTTTTACAGAGAGGAAGGGAGAGGGATAGAGAGTTAGAAACGTGGATGAGAGAGAATCATCGACCAGCTGCCTCCTGCACACCCCCTACTGGGGATGTGCCCGCAACCAATGTACATGCCCTTGACTGGAATCGAACCTGGGACCTTTCAGTCCACAGACCGACGCTGTATTCTCTGAGCCAAACTGGTTTTGACATGTATATGATTTTTAAAGATTCTATTTCTCTGACTTTAAATTTTGTTTTGTAATGAATAGGTATAGTTTTTCAGATTGGAGATATATATATATATATATATATATATATATATATATACACACACACACACACACACATATATATATATATATATATATATATATATATATATATATATATTCAGAAAGGAGAAAAAAATATCAGAAAGAGCACAATCTGGTTATATATATTTAATCTTCACCCAAGGAGTGAGGATACTTTTTCCGATTGATTTTTTGAAAGAATGGAAGGGAGGAGGAAGTGTAGGAGAGAGAAACATTGATTGGTTGCCTCCCACATGAGTCCCAACCTGGGGACTTGGGGAGGGATGGGACCTGCAACTCAGGTACTTGTTCTGGATGGAGAATCAAACCCAAGACCCTCAAGTGTGCAGGAGCAACTGCGGCCAGGGCAGATTTTATATTTTTAATTGTCTAGTGCATGGATTCTCCAAAGAAATCAAATAAAAAAATGCACATATGGCCCAAACCGGTTTGGCTCAGTGGATAGAGTGTTGTCCTGCAGACTGAAAGGTCCCAGGTTCGATTTTGGTCAAGGGCATGTACCTTGATTGTGGGCACATCCCCAGTAGGGGTTGTGCAAGAGGCAGCTGATTGATGATTCTCTCTCATTGATGTTTCTAACTCTCTATCGCCCTTCCTCTCTGTAAAAAAAAAAAAATCAATAAAATATATATATTTTTTTAAAAAAATGCACATATGTATACAGCATATACACACACTCAAATCACCCAGTCCATTCCTCTAGTTGGAACTGTGGCTTTGTGAGAATACTCCTGGAGATCAGATTTTTTTTCTTTAAAGGTAACTTGAGATAAACTAAAGATGTTAGCTGATGTATTCTATGAGCATATGACAGGTGAATTTAAATACGATATAGCATGCCTGAATTTTAAACACCAGATTGTGCCTTTTCTGATATTTTTTTCCCTTCTGAATTTTAAAATACAAATATAGAAAATTAAAGTCAGGATCCTCAAAAATTTCCACAAGTGTTCTAATTAGAACAAGTCCTGGAAATGGAGGCTTTGCAGAATGAATTGTTACCAGGCAACAGGATATATTGGGTTTTATGTCCTAGTTACCACTAGAAGAGCCTTTATATGCATTGTATGGTTAAAAGTTAAAATTAGATCTACTTACTGGAATTGAGGATGGAAACTGGCAGAAGAAACAGCCCCTGCAGTGGGGTGAGCTATCTAGGATGCGAATTAAGGCAAATAAAAATGTAGGAGTCAGACTTTTCTAGAAACTCGTTTCTAGAAAAACTGGTTTGGCACTCACATGGGAAGACTGATCCCAAACAGATATCAAGCAAACTGCTTATGCAGAGAACCTCTGACAGTTACATACTGCTGCTTCCTCTCTTCATTTCACTCCCACCCACTGAGGAGGGAGCCGGAAGCTGAGATCAGTCCTGCCACTCAGAGCAGGAAACAGCCTGGAGGCTCAGCAGCTGGTCCAAGGTCACCCAACAGAAAGGGGCTGAGCCAAGACTTGACCCACAACCTTTCCTTCATAGCTTCCATCTATTTTATTCCACATGACTATTCCTTCCACTAAACTGAGTGAATAAAAATTAAAGGGTCAATTCTAGAAGTAAGGAGAAACACGTGCTAGTCAAAAGAGGTATTTAATTTACTTGGAGTCCAGGCCAAAGTATTAGAAACAATTTGGCTGGTCATTTAAAAAACCTATAAAATAAACAATGATTCCAAGAAAAGTATGATCTACGCAGTCAAATATAATTTTAAAGGACTAGTAATTTGTTCTAATTTTTTTCTCCAGTAACCATAGATTGTTGATTTAGCATCTATTGTTGCTTTTCTTCATTTTTAAAAATCATATATTTGGTTTCAAGAGTTATTTTCAGAATGTCCCTTCTCGTAAACATGTTATTTTTAAATGACATCTTATATAACTGGAACAATGTTATAGTCCAAAAGAAAGGCCAGGAGTCAGAATTACTAGCTACTGTTTTTCATGTGGCAGAGTTCATGACCTTTGTTAACTATTCTAAGGAAAAACAAACAAACAAACATGATTGCCAGGACAGTTCAAAGGTCAACATTCCAGTGCCAAAAAAAAAAAAAAAGAAAAAAAAGAAAAGGAATTAATGTGAAAACACTGAGTTCTGACCTTGACACAATTATAGCAAGAAACAGCAAGATCAGAATATCAAATTTCAAAGTAGTTACAAAGTGGAGAGGAACCTCAATTGATTATATCTAGTCTCAATACAGCAGTGATTCTCTCAGTTGAGCATGTGTCAGAAACAGCAAGGATTTTGATTCCCTAGGTCTGAGATGAGCTTGAAAATCTACACTTCTAACCAGCTTCCATGTAGTGTTGATGTCCCAGGACCACTCGCTGACAAACACTGCGTTAGTTAAACGACCTTGGTCCAGAGTTTTCATCTCGCCCAGCTTCAACTTTCTCACCTGGAAAACGAGATTATGTAATACCCTGCTTCCCTTCACCCGTCTATGGACGCGATTGTAAAGGCACAGGGCTCGGATGCGTGGCTTCTTGACACTCAGCTGAAGAGCAAGAGTGAAAGTAAAAGAAACAGCTGGTCCAGTCATAAGGTTTCAGGATCCCGTATCCAGCCGGACGGAGGCCGATCAGGCCGTCTTAGGGAGCAGCCCCAGGCAGAGTTTTACAGGGAGCTTCCGAAAGTGCGCCCCGAAAGAGAACGCTTCATCTGAGCAGCTGGTACAGCTCTAGAACGGGGTTTGATTTACACGCCATTTGCTGTAGTGACAGCTTTCCGGACCCAACCCCGCTGCGCACCATTCCCTCCCGGGTTCCTCCCGCTGCCGAGTCCAGAGGCCAAGTCCTTCCTGGGGGCAGTGGGAGCACCTGGCCTGGGGGTCCAGCCCGGAGCTCGGCGGGAAGAGCTGAGGGCGCGACCGGCAGGCAGCTCCCTCCCCAGCGCGGAGGGGCGGGGGTCCCCGCGGAGGCGCTGCCGCCGCTCCTCCAGCTGCTGTGCGCCGGCCCCGGGCGCTGCGCGGGACGTTTGGTGTCCGGGCGCCGCGGAGGTCAGCGCGGCGCCGCCCAGAGACACCCCCCCCCCGGTGGCCAGCAGGGGACCGCGGCCGCACGCGCCGGAGGCCGGAGGGACGCCCCGTCGCCCCCGGCAGCGGGCACGGCGCCTGGGGGTGCGCCCTCCCCCGGCCCCTCGCGCCGGGCGCCGGAAGGGCAGTGCCCATCTCACGGACCGGGCGCGGAGGGAGGGGGAGAACCTCCGCGGCGGGTCTGCGATCGCCCTGAGGCCCCCACCCTCCCAGCCCGCGCCCCGCGCAGCCCAAAGGATACGACGGCCCCGGCCGAGGGGCAGCCGAGGTGGCCCAGCACGACGCGCAGGCGGGAGGCGGCGCGGGCCCCGTCCATGGCGGCAGCGGGAAGGACAGCGTCTGGGCGCGCCTCTACTTGGTCCTGCGAGCGGCCCCGCCCCTGCCCCGCCCCGAAGGGCGTGGCCTGCGCGGGCCCCGCCTCCTCCGCTCGGAGGGCTCCGGGACCAAGGTCACTCAGTAAGAAAGTGAACCGCAACGTGACCCACATTCTTAACTGCGTAGTTCCGGATATGTTGTTCCACGTTATTGCTCCTTCCACTAAGCTGCTGAAAGAATAAAAATGTGTATGTTCAGCTCTACAAGTAACATGCTGTTAAAAACGCATTTAATTTCTTTTTTTTTGGTGGTGGTGGGGGGGTCCAGTCCCAAATGTTAGAAACTGGTCCTTAAAAAGGAAGAGCATGAAATAAATGACACACTGAAATGTCTGATCCACACAGTCTAGTATAATTTTACATTTCCTAAAGAACTAGAATTTTTTGCCCTGGGCGGTTTGGCTCAGTGGATAGAGCGTCCACTGAAGGTTCCATGCTGGTCAAGGGCATATACCTTAGTTGCAGGCACATCCCCAGTGGGGAGTGTACAGGAGGCAGCTGATTGATGTTTCTAACTCTCTTATCCTTCTCCCTTATTCTCTGTAAAAAAATCAATAAAATATATTTTTTTAAAAAGAACTAGAATTTTTTTTTTTCAATTCTATGATTTGGGGATAAGTACATATACACTCGTGAAACTCATCCCTATCATCAAGGCCAGGAACATCCATGTGAGAGGAGATCTCTCAAATTTTCCTCACATGCTTTATCATTATTTTTGTGCTTATGGTAATAGATAAAAATCTACTCTCAGCAAATTTTCAGCACTAGGCTGCATTGTAGATCTCTAGAACTATTCATCTTGCATAACTGAAACTTTGTACCCTTAGACTAACACCTCTCCATTTTCCCCTCCCCACAGCCCCTGGCAAACACCATTTCACTCTTTGCTTCAATGAGTTTGACTCTTAGATTCCACAGATAAGAAGTATGTGTCCTTTTGTGACTAGCTTTTCTCACTTAGCATAAAGTCCTCAAGATCCATCCATGTTGAGGCAATTGCAGGATTTCCCTCTTTATTCTTTTTTTTTTTTTAATTCTTTATTTAAAGCATTACATGTGTTTCCTTCCCCCCATTGATCTCTCCCGGCTATTCCCACCCCCCAGCACATGCCCTCACCCCGCTACTGTCTGTGACCATGGGTCATGCTTATATGCATGCATACAAGTCCTTTGGTTGTTCTCACCTCTCGCCCCTATTATTATTACTACTACTACTTCTATTGATTTGAGAGAGAAAGGGAGGGAGAAAAACATTGATTTGTTGTTTCTTACCCATCATTAGTTGATTCCTGTTTGTGTCCTGACCAGGAATCACACCTGGGTTATCAGGATGACGCTTTAACCAACGGAGCTGACCTGTCATGCCAGGGCGCTCCCTCTTTATTAAAGCTGAAAAACATTCCATTTTGTGTATATACAACGTTTTCTTTACCCATTCATCTATCAATAGACATGTAGGTTATTTGCGTAGCTTGGCTATTATATGGGAGTGCAGATATGTCTTTGAGATCCTGATTTCACTATCTTTAGATAAATACCCAGAAGTGGGATTGCTGGATCATATGGCAGTTCTATTTTTAAAATTTTTGAGAAACCTTCATACTGTTTTCCATAGTAGCTGTAAGAACTGTAAGTTCTTCCTTTGAGATCCCTTTTCCTCCAGTATCTACAGATGTTGCCCTCAGAATCTCATTGTTTCTTTTTTTTCCTCATTGTTTCTTTAGCTTAAAGAGTTACTTCCAGAATGTTCCTCCTCATAAACATGTCATCATTTCTTAAGTGGTGAGTTTATCCAATATGATGAAACTGCCATAGTTAAGGAAAGAAGCAATCCAGAGCTCTGAATTATTAGCTACTGCCTGTTTTCTAAGGCAGAAAGGGGAAAGTCAGCATCTGAGCAAGTCCTGTCCTTTGGCCTTCACCTTTGGGTTCTTGATTCTTTTTTCATGATTCCTCCCTACCACACTCCCAGATTCCTTTAGGTTAACAGAAATGCCCGGGGCCTCTCTCATTAGCCTTTAACTTCATGTCCCCAGACTGATCATCCCTTAGCTGAATCTGACCCTGAACTTGTCAACGGGATAAGGAAAAGCCCTTAGGTTTATTATAGTTTAAAATGAGGTATCTGGCCTTGGGCAGGTATAGGAAATAGACTGCTTCTGAGGAAAAATCCTAAAGGTACTGGGAACAGACCATTAGGTGTCTCCTTACTGCCCCCACCTGGTAAAAGTGGGGAGTGCTGGGAGAAAAATAAAGCTAAAAATGTAAATTGAATTCACACCTACCTGAATCATTTAAAAATCTGGACGTTTACCCTCACAGGCCCTGAAATTTATGGCATTCCTGACCAATGAGAAATACAAGCAAGATGAAGCTATCTACACCTGTAATTTAAAATATATATTTTTTTACTGATTTCATAGAGGAAGGGAAAGGGAAGATAAAAACATCAATGCTAAAAGAGAATCATTGATTGGCTGCCATCTGCACACCCCACACTGGGGATTGAGCCAGCAAACTGGGTATATGCCCTGACCAGGAATTGAAAGGTGACGTCCTGCCGAAACCGGTTTGGCTCAATAGATAGTCGGCTTGGGGACTGAAGGGTCCCGGGTTCGATCCGGTCAAGGGCATGTACCTTGGTTGCGGGCATATCCCCAGTAGGGGGTGTGCAAGAGGCAGCTGATCGATGACTCTCTCTCATCGATGTTTCTAACTCTCTCTCTCCCTTTCTCTCTGTACAAAATCAATAAAATGTTTCTAACTCTCTCCCTTTCTCTCTGTACAAAATCAATAAAATATATTAAAAAAAAAAAAAAAAGGTGACCTCCCGGTTCATAGGTCGAACACTTGAAATTGTTCAAGTGTTGTTCACACTTAAGAAAATGTCAACCACTGAGCTGAGCTGGCGGGTCTACACCTGTAATTTTAATGTTCCCTTAAAATACCCTCATTTCACAAGTGTGTGAAAATCCCTGCTCTCCCTACCTTAAGGCATTTATACAAAGGATGTGTTTAATTTTATGATTATTAAAAGAGATGAAGGAAATCCTTGAATACTTCCAATTGTTATCTGCCTTTTTAAAATTGGTTTAAGATTTTTTTTTATTTAAGATTCTCTGGGGAATTAAAACAGTAATTTTTTTTTAGGTAAAGAGGCAATTTGATGAATTTTAATAGTTTTTTTTAAGTAGCAATTAGGATTTGGAAATGCCTTAAGTAGTTATATTTAGTAATTGTGTGAATATAAAAATATTTTTAGAACTATTGAAACAGAATTATTAATGGAATATAAACATTATCACAAGAATGATTATTTCTCCTTCAGAGTTTGGTATTTACTCATTTCTTATTAAAGTTGGAATTTTGAATATTATTTCAAATTTACCTTTTCAAGTAATGTGCTTAGTTTATCTAAATATTGAAAGTGACCTTGAAGATGTTGAAACAGAATTTTCAAGTTTCCCCCAAATGTGTAAGTTAAAGAAAATGATCCCCCCCACCAAAATATATTTTTATTAATTTCAGACAGGAAGGGAGAGGGAGAGATAGAAACATCAATGATAAGTATCATTGATCAGCTGCCTCCTGCATACTTCATATAGGGGATCCAGCCCAAACCTGGTTCATAGGTCAACACTCAACCACTGAGTCAGGTTGGCCAGGCAGAAAATAATTTCTTAAAATAGCCATATTTGAGCAGCTATGAAAAAGGAGTATGAGCTAAGAAAACTTGGATGAAATTGTTCAAGTATTGTTCACACTTAAGAAAATGTCATCATATGAATGAGAAATTGTCATCAATTCCAGATTGAAAAGTGCACCCTCACTCCTCCCTCCCCCCAAATGCCATTCATTCCCTCCCAAGAAGAGTAGATATGACTGTAGGTCAAGTAATTTGGTAGCAGGTTTTAAAGTTAATTTAATCCATTCATGCACCAAAAGGAAGCAAGCATACTTGCCATCTTCCTGCAACGACAGGACCATTCGTTGCTCCTAGGAAAGCCAGGCCTCCTGTAGTGCATTAACTCCCATCCCCTGCCTGGACTGTTGTCGAACCTTGTTTCAGCAATTCTTCTCTGTCTTAGTTGGTTATCCCCTACCTACAATCAACATACAAGCATGCTGTTATTTCCTGTCTTATATAAGCCTCCTATTGATTCCATTTCTTCTAATTATCACTCACATTTCTCCTTTTGCAGCAAAACTTGAAAACATTTGCTTTATATAAACTCAGTCTCCATTTTTTCTCCTCTAATTTTGTCAGTCAATATTTTACACTCATCATTTCATTGCAATTGCTTTCATCAAATTCGCCAGTGACCACCATGTCAAGCATCCAATGGCTGATTCTCATTTCAAAACTTGCCAAAACAGGTTTGGCTCAGTGGATAGAGCATTGGCCTGTGGGCTGAAAGGTCCCAGGTTAGATTCCAGTCAAGAGCATGTACCTTGGTTTCAGGTGGCTGATGGATATTTCTAGCTCTCTCTCCCTCCCTCTTTCTCTCTGTAAAAAATCAATAAAATATATTAAAAAAAAAAAAAAAACTTAGTGGACTTAGTGAAACAACTTCACTTTCTGCTTCTTTTCAGCCTCATTTGCTGGTACTTCCTTATTCACTGGGCTCCTAATTCAGTACTTTGATAGCTCTATAAACACTACTTTCCTCAGAAATCTCCTCCAGTGTCATGACTCTAAGTTCTTTCTGTAAACTGTATCCCAAATCTGTATCTGCCCTTACTATCCAATAAACTCCAGACTGTTTCCATCCAGCTGCCTACTTCACATTGTCATTAGGATTTCTGACAGACATCTCAAAACAAAAATTCCCCCTAAAATTTCCCCCTAAAGAGCATGTCCTACACCGAAAAAAGATATGTCCAGGTCCTAGCCCTTGGAAAGGGTGTGACCTCGTTTTGAAAAAGGGTATTGATAGAT